AGCAAACATTTAATTACTTTATTAGCAACAATCTTAATGATTTGTTTTCAATAATATGTTCCAGTCAATCAAGTAAAAGACATTTTAATTCTGGATGACATTAATTTCTTAATTTTGATATATAAATTATCTGTATATTTACTCAAATACATAGAAATACAACTCTAATATATTTGATTTATCTAAGAGTGATTACTCGATATGCATTTGATCAGGTCGGATTTAAGACAAGTAATATATTTCTACTAATCAAATCGAAAATCTGATTTAGACGTGTAAAAATTATAATTTTATAATAATGACATTTTCTACTAATATTTTCTTTATTACATCTAAACTATTGAAAATCCTATATTGAAAAATATTGTATGTCTAAGTGTGTTTGAATTCATGTCATTTAGATATTAAATTAAAGGAGTCTTTAATTCAAAAATATTATTATCGAGGTTAATATTTTTCAGAATCATATTCTCAATTTGATTTGGAGTGATTCGCGCCAATGAAAGAAGATCATTATCAACATTAGCACTTTTTGACTAAATTGTTGGAAATATCAAATGGTTGTCCCTTGTTCTCATATATAATGGGGTAAGGGGGAGGTAAGATAGTAGACTACCCCCAACACTAGGTTGAGAGCAGCTTCCGTAGGAGACCTCCAAATTATGAAATGCCCTCCATGGACTCGATCCCACGACCTCAAGGTTAAGAACCTTGTGCTCTACCAACTGAGCTGGAAATATCATTCCACTAATTGTTTTATAGATATTTATTGGCCAAATTGAATAATATTACTCTTGAAATAACAGAGTTTTTTTTTCATATTAATCTATTTATTGTACATTTTTAACTAGATATATCATAATTTAGGAAGTAAATTTATTAAATATTTTTATTTTATATTAGTTTTAAATATATTATCTAAATATCTAACTCATAATATAACTTTAAATAAAAATATTTGATTGGGATGATGTAAATTTGACTTATTTGGCCTTTATTTTTTATAGAAGAGTTTGACTTGCAAACTTATGACAATAAATTTAACAAAATAATATAGCTTTCCTAATAATATATTTGTCAAATAATATTATATCTTACAAATTTTATTCCTGCATGTAATATTATATTTTATAAACCAAACGTATTTTAACAACTATATCAATTCAGCTAACACTCATTTAACACAATGCTAACAACTCACATATAATACAAACTGTCAATGTTTAAGTCATCCAAGTAAAGCTAATTAAATAAAAAGAGGTGAAGAATCAAAGGCAGCGGGCTGCGTAATTGTATATCAGATAAATATGGCCAATTATGCATGCATGTAATCTTCCGAGAGTTTATGCTTCGCCAGAGGTACAAACAAGTACATCAATGAATTAAAATTAAATATATTTACAATGTTAGCTGTTTCTTCAAAGCTCTAACCTTACATTTTGGCATTTTATGGAATAAATATCACAATCATTTGCCAAAAGATGCTTCACTTACAGACATTTCCTCTAAACTATTAAAAAATTGCATTACTAATTAATTAGCACTAATTCCGAATTCTCTCTCTATATATTTCTGAAATTTACAAATAAAAAATAATTAATACGAGACGAAGATAAAATAAAAAATTAAATTTATTCAAAGAAAACAATATTTAATATGGTTTGATTTTTCTGATTTACCTCCACAATCCCAAAATGATATAATTTATTCCATCAATCTTGTAACTTTTATGGGGATAAAGCTACAAATCACCCTAATAAAAAAATCAAACTACCCATAATAATAATGTGTAATTTTTACACGTAAAAGTTACGAACTATCCCTCGTACAAAAATTATCTAAAAGTTACATCTCGTGTCAATTTCTTAATTCTAAACGTCAATTCATACTTTTCATTTTTAAGATATTGTGGAGAAAAGAATTACAATAATAAGAGATTTGTATTTTTCTTATTTCATCTCAACCATGAGCAACATATATATCTACAATAGTGTTTGTAACTAACAGCTGAGTATTCAAATACAATGGATAAGATAAAGAAAGATTGTTGTTAAGATTATAGAGAATCACAACAACAACATTTGAAATTAAGGAGGTCATGTCATTATTCTATCATGCTCCCGCAAGATGGATGGTGATGAAGTGAGTCCAATCTTATTGATGACAGTGACAAATTGTTGGTGCGACAATAGTTTCGTAAGAACATCGGCAAGTTGGTCACAATTAGACATGAGAGAATCAGAGACATCCTCTTTGTACTTGCTCACGGATGAAGTGGTAATCTACGCAACATGTTTCATGTGGGAATGAAAGACTAGGTTGCCACATAGTTCGTTGCCCCAGCTTTATCAAAATAAATCATCAGTTTTTGTGGTATGATGACGCCAAGTTCATACATGAGGGAGCACAACTAGTGCAATTCAACTGCCATAGCTACCACAGAGCGATACTCAGCCTCAATTGAAGACCGACAATAGTTTTATGTTTCTTAGAGCTCTAAGACACGTGATTACAACCAAGATAGACAATATAAGCATTTTTAGAAGTAAAATCATCTTTGTCACAAGCCTAGTTAACATCATAAAATGCATGAAGATTTAGAGAAGAATTACATGAGATCATGACCCAAGGTTTTACTGAGATAGCGTAACACCCTTTTGACAACAATCCAATGCTCATATATGGGTTGATGCATGAATTGAGAGAGCTTGTTAATGACGTAGTTAATGTTGGATAAATGGTAAAGTAAAAGAAATGATTTAGTAAATTGTGTTTAAGACCAATTAGTAAGAATGGAAGAATGAAATGCCATTTTGGTCCTTTAGAGGGAAATGAATTTAAATATTTATTTTATTAGGGATATTTAAGAAGAGAAAAAGGGGGGAAAAGTTTAGAAAAAACTAAGTCATCTTCTTCTTCTCTATCTTCTCATCCCGTGTTCTCCCTTATAGCCCAAAGGTATGATTTCTTTAAGTTGGTTTTCCTTTAGTTTATGGGCTGGTTTTGAAACCTTAAATGATATAGAGGCTTAAGGAAAGTTCAAGGATGATTAAAACTAAGTGATTAGTGAATTGTTTGAGATTTAAAAAAATGGGTTTTTTAGTTATATGATGAAATATGAGTTTTTATTAAGGTTTACAAGTAAATTTGACTTGTCAAAGAAGTAAATGAGAGATTAGAAGCCTTGGATGTGATTAAAAACATGTGTGAAAAAGTAGTGTGATTCTTGGGTTAGAGTTTTTTTGAAAATTTTAGATGTTATAGGAAGATTAATGAAGGAAAGTTAGTTGGGTTTAGTAAGGCTGAGTTTAATGGTATTGTTGGAGGTAAAAGTAAGAGATTTAAACGAAATTTGGGTAAAACTCAAAATGGAAAATTTGGGTAAGGGTATCGGTACTAGAAGAACAATGTAAATATTAGTATCGATACTTCTGTGGGTATTGATACTAAGAGGAAGGTATCGCTACTATGGATTTCAGAATGAAGAAATGGTATTGATAATGAAGGGAATATGGGTACCATAGTATAGAAGTATCGATACCATAGTAGGGGTACCGATACTATTGAGCCTGGAATTTTAAGATATGATGAATTTTAATCAAAAATCAAAATAATAGTACTATTAAGTATTATTAAAAGTATAAATGTTAGAAAGTATACTAACATTTGTATGGTATGTGTAATTAATGGATGCTTGTATAGATCGTAACCAAGCTCCAGAGTCTAGCAAGAAAAAGGGCAATGATAAAGTTGTTGAATAGTCGGACATCATTACAATATACTAGTGAGACATATCAGGTGAGTGCACTTATTGTACTTCTATGAAATGAGGGAGACTTGCGACGAGTCAACCTCGAATGTTTTGATAAAACATGTTTTACAGTACTTTGATATGTTTTCATAATGTGTATGGAAATGATATTACAAATAAATTTTAGAGTATGAACTGCTCTAAAAAGAATAGATGAATGTTGTTGTTGTTCAATGGTTATTGATATTGCAGAAATAAATGTTTAAATCTGTGAAATTGACTTGAAAGCCCATTGTATGTGCATTGAGAGTCATAGGTGCATTTCGACATACTTCGTGTATGATGGTATCGATCGATTTTGTTTAATGCATAACGGTGCATTTTCATATCAGTACTATGTGTACTTTTTGAACTATATGTGCAATCATGGTATTCATAATGAGTTTGTGAATTACCGTTTCGATATACAATTATGTATATAAGTTATAATCGATTTTGTTTAATGCATAACGGTGCATTTTCGGCACTAAATATGCAACCCATGGTATTCATAATGTGTTTATAAATGACCATTTCGGCACTATGTGTGCAATCTATGGAATTCATAATAAGTTTGTGAATTTTCATTTCGGCATTTCGGTGCAATGCATATACCTTGTATTCTCATTTTACATACATTTAGAAAATATTCCAGTGTTAAATTCTTAACTTTTTTTATGGTATTCAAACACATTAAATAAAATATCTAATCTTTTTAATTTATACGGAATTTTATTACAGCTTACGGATAGAATAGTAAAAGATTTATATATTATATGTTCATAAAAAGATTGAAATATTAAACAGTAAATTTTAAGTATTTTATTTAAATATTAAAATCATAAATATTCTTTTATTAATTTAAAGTGATTACATGATAATATTTATTCTAAATATTCTCGATCATTTAATAACAAAAGTTCAAACATCTTTGCCTCGCTGGTATTCTAATTTGAGACCTCAAGGATAACTATTATTTCTTTAACCACTTAGATAACTTAGTTTATACAAAAATAAAATACTCTTAACATTTAAAAGAATAATATTTTTAATATTTTCCTAACATATAGATAAGTTCAAATAAATTTTTATTTCAGAAAAAAATTGATTATTAAAAATTAAAAACTTATTTAAATATAAATTAAGTTTTATTTAACGGTGAAATTATCACTTCTGTGGATGCAGTAAAAATATTAAAAATTTAAATCAATAAAGTTGTGAAATTGCGTGTTAGTATAACCTCTAAAAATGTTGAAGCTGAAAGCAAAGCTGCCTAAGCCTAGAAAATTATATTTTCCGTACAACCACTTCGCTATCTCCTACGAAGAAAATTTATTTTCATCAATGGAACTCAGGAACAATGAAGCTTTCCATAATGTAACCAACATAAAAATCAGATGGCTGGAATCGAGCGTTTATTGTGCTAGCTTTAGTGTTTGAAACCCGTAGCTGTTGCCGGAACATTTGATTTTGGAGCAAGATTCATTGGCTGTTTGATGGACTTGTGCCAGTCGCTGGTGCCTTGTTGCAGAGCTAACTTTTCGGGCTGGCAATGAGGCTCATCCAACTCCGTTTCCGGCTTCCTTTTTGCCTTTTTCTTTGGCAGTGAGGCATCCGCCATCTTGATTTCATCATCCATGGCATTGCTTGAGATGCCCTTTAACTTATCCTGTTTGAGTCTGTCAAAATTGGAATCATCTGTCGAGGGACTCGGAGCACGGACAGCAGCTGTAGTTGAGTTGGAAATCGACTTATGAATTGGAAGTAAAGCTTGGGTACCGGGATCACTAGCCAACTTCTCTTGAGTGTGCTGTGACTGTGCACTCGAGGAAGAATCCACTCGAGCACTCTCATCCACTCCTGGTTCCAACATCTTTTTCCTCTTGATTTTCTCTTGATCCTTTTAAGAAAGACAAAGAACTCGCAATAAATAGAAGAAAAGGAAAATGGGAATCAACAATCAATGAACCGGAGATGCGTCGAAAAATGGAAAGCAAAACACCCAGTATCCACCGGGTTTTGGTTCATCTGAACCTGAAACCCCAAGAATATTAACAAACATGGGACAGGTTGAGCTAAATGTTTGGAAAAGAAAGATTTTCTTTGCCAAGCCTATCAAAACTTCAAAGCTAAAAATTTTCGAGATGGATTGCATTAAATCTGCAGAAGACTAGCTACTTAATTCGAAAACATATAAACACCAATAAAATACAGTATCGCAACAATGGCAAAATACTCAGAAGGGTACATACCTTACGTCTGTTGTACCTTGCTCTTCGTCTTTCCTTCGCCTTACAAATTGCACGTTTAATCTCATGGTTGTCCATCATACCATTTGGCCACAGCTGTGCAAGCTGTTCAAAGATAACTTCAAATGTAAGATAATGTATCAGAAAATGTAGAACCATAACCGAGCATAGAAACAATAATCATTAGCTTTATCACAACAAACTAAAAGAAATGGAACATGATCAAAACAAAACGAGAGATCCATTTAAGGTTAACGCAGGACAGGAGTTGAAGAACTTCACAAGATTGGTTCAAATTATTTGAAAAAAGAACAATAGTGACAACGTAGTATAAACTCTTTGAATTCTGTTAAGCAACTAGCAATTGCAGGTGTCTTTTAGGTAGAAATGTCGTCAAAGGGAAGAAAATGTAACAGTTCAAGTGAAGTGTACAAAAGAAGAAGAAGAAAAAAGAGGAAGGGCAAAACAGAAGAGAAAAGGTGAGTAGAATAGAAAGAAACAGAACAATCTCATGCACAACTCTCATCCAAATGGTCAAAAGCGATGATAAAAAAAATAATTGCAGAAACATATTTGTCCACATTCAGAGACTCCAAAAGCGAGCAATACGAAGATTTCCATTATAACTACAGCATTGTGAGAGTAGAGGAAGAATTGATTAGTGCCCAACCTCTACATAAAGCTTTCTGATTTGTGGACCAGCATCTTCATCTAATCCCTGCAGCAAATAAATGATAGAAAAGAAAAGATAAAATTCATTACGAATAAGACTTTCCCAACAAAGATGAATTTGTTAATATGGGACATGTGATTACATCAACATAGAGGTCATAAAGTTCACAAATCTTGTTCTCCAGTGGTGCGTCCATGCTAAATTTTTTTCTAAAAACTCTTTCTTCAGAACCAACATCTTGAAAATCATCAGAAGCTCTGGGTTGCTGTTCCAATACCTGAAAAAAAATAAGCATTTTTTTCATCACTAAATATTACAACTTCAATTGATAATATAGAGTACCAACTATAAACAAGACGAAAGTCCATGATTTTCATATACTAGGAAGGAGAGAGGAGAATAGTCATGGATCTAAAATGAAGTATCTAAAGAAAATCGCATGAAAATAAGGATACAAAATACAAAATCAAGTACATCAGCATGGGGTGAGAATGTGGACAAAAATTGAAAGCACTATGTGAAACAATGTAGGAATGATTTTTTTTTTTTTTATCTTAAGCAAAGCCGAATAAAAGCTATATTTCATTACAGGGGGGGGGGGGGGGAAGGTGAAAGACTGTTGACTTAGGAGCAACAAAGAGAGGGTAAATAAAAAAAAACAGAATAATGAGGGGTGAGGGGAGAGAGAGAGTAAAACAAGCCTTTGTCTCGAAAGGAGGAAGTCTTGTCTTTATCATCTCAGTGACTTCCTTCTTGATCTGTTGAAATCTAGCGTCTTTTTCTTGCTTTGCTGTTGGTGAGACACCCATATTAATCATGATTTTGAGGTTCCTCTGCATCCCAAATAGTCCCAAATTCGTAAGAGAGTAATTGACAATGATGATCCAAATTGGTACAACGAATTTATTGGAAAGGAAACATTGAGAGAAAACAAGAGATCTAATCCTTCATAAATAAACAATATAAGAAAAGTAATGCACTAAATGTTTACACAGTCACATATTTAACAGCCAACAAATAGTCTCTCTCAAGCAGTATGGTTCTAAAATAGGATCCATAAAGAACTTGGATTTTAACTACAAGCAAAAAAAAAATGCTTCAAGAACCAAAATACATGCAATAACATTACATAGTCACCATAATTGCAGTTGCAAATGTCACAAGTAATCAAATACAAGGCATACAAAAGTGCCTTCACCGAAACAAAAGAAACTACATCACATGAATTAAAAGCAAAAGATGACAGTAGAAAGGAAGATTTAACAGAAAATATTTCTAGACTTGGGTGTCATAGGTATGTTGGCATGCAATATATGATAATATTCCAAGCCCTTTATGAACTTGATGAAGTGCAAAATGTTGGAACCACGTGACTGAAAAATTGTAGGTGTCTGATACCTTAAGTGTTCTTAGCTGTATTAAGTGACCAAGGATGCTCATAAGGCGACTTAGTAACTCATTGGAAACTTTCCCCTGGCTTGCCTGCCACAAATATCAAAATGAAATTGGTAAATTTTTTCCTGACGGCATCATGCCATTGTAGCAAAATTGACAATCTAAAAATGAGTTATTTTGCAACACATAACAAGTTAGTAACAGTCCCATACAGCTAATCTAGCAACTTTCGCAAGCTTGAGCTTTATTTCTCTGGGCAATCTCCTCTTAATCCCCTGGGATGAAGTATCAGCCTCTTGATTTTCCACAGCAGGCGGCCTTGCTGTTAAATTTTAGAGAGGAAGGAAAAAGGATCACTTTAGGAGTTATTCAAGATTATATTTTACAAGACTCGTATACACTTACATTCTGTAACTATCTTCTCTAGCTCCCTAATGGCCTTTTCAAGCACGGAAATTTTGTGCCTAAGAGTAGAACCATCCTTTTTCACCATATATGAGGATTTCTGCAAGGCATATTACGCAACCAAAATCAATATGATAGCATTAATATCTAATACCAAACTAGTTTTTTCTCATGTCTCCCTGATGGATGCTAATTTGGACAAAAGAAGCTTCTACTTTAATTTCTTGCAATACACACAAATGCACAAAGGGAAATCTAAGGGATCTCTGAATGTTCCAGGGTGTTCCCGGTAGTCCAGACATGTAAAAATGAAATCTGAGGGACTTTACGTCTATAACAAATTAGCTCAGAACTGTTTCTATTGTCTCCATATCTATGGCTAATATCTTTCAGTTGAATAGATCTCATGTAAGTCTATATTAGAGACTTCTATTACCATATTACATACACGTAAAGCCACTTAATTCCTAGTGTTTCAGATATTATAGGTTCATAGGTTGTCAATAGCAGAAACCGTCTTCATGTCAAAACTCTAACTAGGTTAGTCAGCTACTAATCATGACTAGCAAAAAAAAAAGCCAATGGAGAGTTTGAGAAATGGAAAAAATAACTAAAAAGGATGTTTAAGATTAAAGAGAATAACGTACAGCTGTATGAATAGCATGTATGCCATCAGAAACATTAATGTCTGCCAATTCACGAATGCCATTGTTCTCTCTTGCTCGAACTGATTGTTCAAGCTTCTCAGCATTGCTGCTTAGTTTTCCATGCTGAGGTTTGGATTGAGTGAGAGCACTTTTATCATGGTATTCCTGACGCAAAACATCAAAGGATCCAGTTGCATCTTTCAAGTTGTTACTGACAACACTTTTTGACTGAGGAAATCCTATTTTCGAGTTTTCAATATCCTTGACATCTGCCAAAGGTACAGAAGTGCCACCATTTGAATCTTTCAAATATGAAGAAGAATCCAATGCTAGTCTTGTCTCAGAAGATTTCTTCTTGGAAGGAACACCAGATACTGATAATTGATTCTGAGCTTTTACATCCCTGTATTGTTCATCTAATGCAGTCAAATTCTGAGGAGATTTAGAATTATTCTTCGCAGGAGGTGGTTCAGCCCTCCCTGACATCAACTTTGCTGCCTTTGCATGTTTATTTGACACATGACCGTCGTCGCTCTCATTGGGAAGTTTTTCAGCATCTCTTCTTCTCCTTTTCTTGGGCTGCTGGTTAGGTACCACAGGAGGTTCATTTCTTGAAAAAACGAAGGAAAATAAATAAAAGAAATCAGTGAAGCAAAATTAGAAGAAATCCACTACTAATGAACTTTCACCATTAAAAGGCTAGAATTTGGTATGGTAAAATAATGCTTCAACCATATTGCAATTAGAAAGAAACATAAAATAAATATGGTATAAAAGGTGCAAGGGGTCCTTGACAACCACTTAAATCTCAAAATTCATGATATCAGGAATTAAAGTTGTAAGCCTAACTGTGAATCTCATTTTATTTTGATCTTTAACCCAAATTTCTGCCTATCTAAGATAAGAATTCATTAATTAACCTAAAGTTAACCAATAAGAGATGTACGGAGTATGGTTCTCCTGGTATGTCATAGGATGCAAATTTATAGGCATCTAAACAGGATCATTACTAAAGCTGCCACCAACCAGTGCAGAAGCCAAATGATAACAGTTCAAAGGAACTCACATTCTTTCCAACTTTCCCCTATTAACAAAAAACCCATCGTGTTTTATAGCTGAATTATCAACTTCAAAATATTCATCCTGCATAACGACCAATGAATCAACATTATAAACCAATAAAAATGCATTCCATGATCCTTGTTATGATAAGAATGGCACCAACTACAGTAGCGTAAAACCAATAAGACAGATTAAAAATATAATCAATAATAAATTTTAGTACTTACCAGCTCTGCATCATCAATAAAAGAGTCTTCTGTATCATACTGATCATCATCTGGAGTTTCATCCAGTTCTTCCTCATCACTGCTATCTTTACCCTGAAAAAGAATTTCACTTCACATTAACATATAAAAGTGCATCTCACAATTCTAGCAAACACAAAAAAAGTATATAAATACCATGTAAAGACGTTCAATCTTCTCAATAACAGCACTAAAACGATTTGGGACTGGCTCATCTTTCGTTTCATTGTCAACCGTTTGTCCCTGGATAATGTCAACATGATTAAGAACGGCTGAAAATGGGACAAAAAAGCAATTACCAGAGTTTCTTCCAGTTTCCCATATTTTCTAGGCAGGCAAACAATACTATTGCATTCAAATATACTAAAATAACTAAAGCACAATTCACTAAACAAATTACCACAAAACTACAGAGACGAAATTAGAGTAATTATGCATGTTAAGAACATCAAAAATAAAGAAAATTAATTTTGAAAAAAGACACAGGGATTGAACAGGCGGCTCGTCTTACGGGAGCGATGCGGGACTGGAGGTTAGGGTGAGCATTCGGCGGCGGCTCAGGTGCTGGCGCCGCCACCACAGACGTAGTAGCGGCAACGGAAACGGCAGCGGGAGAAGATCCATGGGCCCGATTGGCGTCTTTGACAAGCTTCCTCCACGAAACATACGTTGTCTCTCCTGGTCGGAGCTCGACCGTAAAAACCTGGCGGTCACCAGCCTTCACCATCTTCGGTGCGACCACTCTCGACGGCTCACCGCCAACAGCACAATTATCTTCCATGAAGAATCCCGGGTCGGGTAAAGCCCAGCGGGTTGAATAATATTGGGAGCAGAGACACTGGCCTAGTTTAAGATTGCTTGCATTGCATTGGAATTCGAATGGAAATTTCAATCTTAACTGTATCTTTAAGTACTCGATTCTAAAACAGTAATTTGACCTCGCATCAAACCAGAACTGAGAGGCCAAAACATCAAATTCAAACAGGGAATTTCAAAGAAAACAAATTGGGAACTTAGCTTTTTTTTTCTTTGGGTTTTTTTTAAGGAGATAAAGAAATAATATAATTTTGGTAAATCTTCGATCTTCTGTAGTAAATCAAAATAAGTCTTATATTGGATTTCTTTTATTTTGTAAATTCAGTATTTTTAATAAAAAAATTGCTGATTTTATTTTTATACAATGTTTTATTTTATCTATATAATGAATGTGATAAAATCTGATAATTTTATAATCGATCAAAAAAATAAAATATACATTTATATATTATTAAAAAAATTGAAATAGTATAATAATATTAGTTAAGGTTTAATATTATTTCAATTTCCAATATAGTTAAAATCATTACACATGTGTCACGGTTTTATAAGTATAATTAATTTTTGGGTAAACTGCTTATTTAATCCTCAAAACTTCCACAATTTATTAATTTAATAAATTTTTAATATTTAATTTTTTTTATCAATTTAATTTCTATTTTAATTTAATAATAATTTAATAATTTGTGCAATAATACTTAATATCTTGCTAAAAAATCGATATCTAACATGTTTTTTTGGGTAAACTACACGTTCATTAATGTTTAAATAAATTTTAATTTTTTCACGACAGTTTTAAAAATGACAAATCAGTCATTAATATTATTGATTTGTAACAAAATGATCATTCTACCATGATCCCGTTAAATTAATGACGTGACAACGTTAACAAAAAAATATTAATATTTAGTGTTACACTTAAACTACTACTAGAATATTAAATATAACTTTGAACAATGATTTTATATCTAATTTATCCCAAAAACTTTTTAATTTTCATTTTTACACTTCCATATGTAGGAATGACAACGGGGCGGGTTTTGCTCCCCCGTCCCCGAAATGAATTCATGTCCCCACCCCGATCCCCGTTGGGTTTTTATCGGGGCGCCCCTTCGGGGATTTTTTTTGCCCCGTCCCCGAACCCGACCCGACCCGACCCAAAATATTGTACCCGAACCTGACCCGATCCCGAGAAAAACCATATTTTTCATAAAAAAGAATTAGAAAAAACGGTCACAAAAAATGAAAAATTAGTCTACATTATTTGCAATTCAAACTACAGTCACAAATTCAAACTCAATTATAAATAATTGCCTAAAGTCCAAAATAAAACACATACATAATTATAAAAGCTAGGGTTTAGGGTTTAGGGTTTGTATTATATAATTAATATAAAAAATATTATATATATAATTAATATAAAAATATAAAATATTATATATATAATTAATATAAAATCTCTGATACCCGACCCAACTTGATTTTATTCAAATCCGACTCGACCCGAACGTAATCGATTTCGAATTTCCCCGTCGAATTCGGGTCATTCTGCCATCCCTATCCATATGGCTGTCCAACGGCAAAAAACATAATTGCAGGATTTTGTTTTTCCTGATTTCCCCACTGTAATATTTATATTTTTACAATCTCATTTAGCTATCAAACTTTCATACAAAACCCTACTTCTGTCATTTCAGAGAGTTTGATCCATTGATTCCATGATCCAAAGTGGGGGCTAACTGAGTCACGGAAAAAAGCAGTAGCAAAAGACTTCCAATGTTTCTTATGCTTCTTATGCTATAGATTGAATTATTTCGATCTGCTGTCGTCATTCTTGGTGTGGCGTGAAGAGTGATTCACTTGAATACAGTGGAGGGGGCGAGGTGTTTAAAGAAAACTAAAAATTTTAAAAAAATTGGGTAAATTAATTATAAAATCATTGTTCAAAGACTTATTTGATATTTTAACAGTATTGTAGGGATAAAACTAAATATTAACATTTTTTCTTGATATTGGCATGTCATGAAGTTAACAGGATGATAGTTGAGTGACTATTTTATTATAAATCAATAACATTAATGATCAATTTGTTATTTTTAAAACTTCATTGAAGAAAATAAAATTTACTCAAATATTTATGACTATTTTGTGTAGTTGATCATTTTTCTTAATTTAGTGTCTATTTTGATTTAAAATAATTTATTCATTTGTTAATAATTTAATAATGTATTGGATTATAAAACTCAGCCCTTGGGTGGCTGTGTCAAATCTGGCGCCTATGTTTTTTTCTTTTTCTTTTTGAAACAATAACTTCTATCTGATGTTCATCAAAATTCGAAGAGAATTAGTAACCCATTACCATTGTGTACTTCATGTTTTCTAGAAAATTTTTCAAATTGTATTCAATCATTTAATTGAACTAGGATGATGAGAAAATTATTTATTAGAAAAGGAAAGTACGAGGGTCAAGATAACAAATAAACGCATAAAAAAGGATGAAATTGAAAATAATATATACCATGGAGGATCGAAATGAATATTATCTCTTTTCTTCCAAAATAGTGTGGATCATCGTGTTAGATTAAGGCAAGAGGTTCAATATCCAGAAAAGATATCCGCGATATTATTTAAAAAACCCCATAAATTAATTCTTTTAAATAGGACCCTCAAAAATGAGATTTATTAAAAAAAATACATTCGAACTGTACAGGTAGGACTACGTCGCCACTTAAGAAAAGTGAGTGAAGGTTTCTTGTTTTACAAGGCGCGAACGTGGACATACTTTTCAGAGAATGTAATTTAATATTGGAATTAATGACCTTGTGTTACGCAGAATACAAATTTCTCGAGATATTGGCAAATTATCATGTACTTAAAAGATTTAAAATTTGATTTGATTCCACAACCTCACGCCATATACGACCCGAGTTACTTTTTACCTTGCTTCGAGGGTGCGAGGACTCCTATAAATAAGACCCCAAATTCAAATTCCTCACACTTTTCTTCCAAAATATCTCTCTTTATTCCATTACGATTATTATGGCGAGATTACTGAGGCTTGATCGAAGACATGTATTCGATTATTGATGGATAAATCCGAAGATAATTTTTATTTATTTATTTTGAATTATTTATTTATTTTGAATAAATTATTAATTTATTAATTTATTTTGAATAATTTATTTATTTATTTATTTTAAATAATTTATTTATTTATTTATTTATTTATTTAATTGAAAGGGTATGAACGTTCGTTGAAGTGTTAATCAATCGTTTCACGAACCCTCATGACGATATTCTTTCGTATTTGCACGAAGCTGATTTTAGTTACGTTAACATTATAATTGGTGGTATGAAGTTGCATCCTCCATTGATAAACGCATTGCTAGAATAGTGGAGACCGGAGATGCACAAGTTTCATTTTCTTTGTGGGGAGGCGACTATTACCCTTGAAGATGTTGCATTCCATCTTGGGTTGCCTATTGACGAAATGACTATACCAGTATTGCCTATGGGTACTAAGTCGGCTTCTTTGAGCAACTGCTCGGACTTACTCTAACAGATGACAATATGGATAGAAGAAATATCATTATTAAATTTTTGGATGGCAATTTTATGTAACTAACCGCCAATGTTGCTTCAGTAATTAAGGAGGTAATTTTTTAAATCTACGTTTTTTTATTTTAATTTTTTATTTATAATATTAAATTTTATTTTAGCTTATGTTATTGTAATTTTTTACAATAATTTTTTTAATTTATTCATACCATTTTTATTTTGCAACAATTTGTCTATGCTCATATTTTACAAGTTATTGGGGGATCTTGATGCGTGATAAATCTCGAAACAAAGTGCATCTGATGTGGTTGTATCATCTACGTGTTTTGCGGGACTCTAAATATAAGAGTTGGGGATCGACAGTGTTGGCATTTTTGTTCCAGTAGCTATGTAAAGATATTGATCCGAACAAACAAGTAATTGGAGGTTGTTTGATATTGTTACAATCGTGGGTTTGGTTTTGAATGTCGTTTTTACAACCGACCCCATTTGAATTTATACTACTTCAGAGGTAATTAAAAATAAACTACATTTATATATTTAAATTGTCGTAACCGGTTTTCGTCCGGGCACGAAATATTTACTTGACGGGAAAATTGATGTGAATAAATGGTTTTGAAAATAATTTGGGAGTCGCCATCGGCCTTTTGGGTCAGGTAGGTCGAATACCTAATAAATTATTTTTTTTAAAAGAGTTTTAATAAAACATCAATTAAAAAATGAACTAATCTGCGTTTATAACCAAAAATCGTTCTTTTTAATAATAAAAAGGGATTCATGGTCGGTTACGTTTAGGGAAGGATTAGCACCCCTACAACGCCCAAAATTGGTACTTTTTAATTATAAATTGTCTCTATTATTAAAAATTCAAAATATATTTAATTTATAATCCTATTATTTCAAAATTATAAAAAAAATATTTAAAAATATCGGAAAATGACTTCTAGGTGCCTTAAGACAGCTCTTTTCTTTGATATTAATAAATATTAATTTGAATAAAATTAAATAATAATTTTTTATAATATTTAATTTTAAAATACCAGAATAGGACATCCAGTTGTATTAAGACTGCCCTTTTCTTCGATATTGAAAAATGTTAAAAATAATTTATTTAAAAAAAATAAATATTTATTTATTATATATATATTTATGACTACATAATAATAATAAAAATATTTAGACAAGTAAAATTAAAATAATAAATACAATTAGAACCATGTATTTAAAAGCAATAAAAGAAATAACAACATTTAAAATAATTGACTAAATTATAGTAAAATTAAAATTAAAAACCTAATTCATAATTAATCAAAATTACAGGGATTAAACATGCTATTTTCTTATTTAATAATTTAGTGACTAAAATAAACTTATTTAAAATTCGAATATAAGATTAAAAATATAAACTAGGGATTAAAATATTATTTATTAAAATTAAGGGATTAAATCTGTTATTTATCCTAAATATATTATTTTAATATAAAGGACTAAAATAAATGAAATTAAAATTAAAGATCTGAATTAAAAGTATTATAAACTCGATTTAGTGACTAGAATGTAAAAA